AAAAACAATCTGGAGTTAATGACATTATATGATTTGATATTCTTTTCTAGGATTAAAATTAGCAGCAGATCTGGTTTCTGTAAGCGTGAATGCTCTTAGCGATCAATTTTTCAGAAGTTTATTTTTGCTCAGCATTTTTCTCAAAAGTTCAATCAATTCACGGTGTAGATCTTGTTCATCGTCTTCTCTCTCTTTCTCTCAATCACGGTGTGACATGAATTTCGGTTTATTGTCTTTGATACTGACTAAATCAGAGGCTACTGTCGTTTATCGTTTTTTGGTGCTTTCTGGAGATCTCCTTTGAAGGAGTAAAAGTCAGCAGCTGATCTGGTCTTTGTAATTTTTCAGAAGTTCGATTACTTCATGATTTAAATTCTTTATCATCTCTTTTGTGCTGACCAAATCAGAAGCTGAGTCCGGCCAAAAAAAAAAAAAAAACTCTGGCATTTATGATAAGTGCTTTTCCTAAGATTTCTTTACAAGAAAAAAAAATGAGCAGCAAATCTCTTCTTGTGAGCGATTATACTCATGGTAGTAATCAGTTTTACATGTAACCTTCTGAATCTGCTAGTATAGTCTATGCTCTTAGCTTTCTTTCACTGTCCAGTTTCGGTATTGTTCATTTCTTTGTTTATCATGAAATATGAAGCTGATTATGAAGATCTCATTTATAGATTAACATGGTAATCCTTCAAATCTGCATCTATTTTGAGTGAATGTACATGACTTTATCTTTTTGTCTTTGTATTGACTCTACACTTCATTTTTGACAGTCTAAAGAAGAGTGTGAATACCTAATAAGTCTTGCTAAACCTCATATGGTGAAGTCAACTGTCGTTGATAGTGAAACTGGTCGGAGTAAAGATAGCAGGTTAGAATTTCTTGTCCTCTCTTCATTGCATTTGATGGAAATTAGCAAGACACATTGAAGAAAGAGCTCACACTTTAATGCTTGAGAGTTGAGATTAATTAATAAAATTTGAGCGTAGCATATTGCTTCATTGAGATCTTGTACATATGCCTGTGTTTTTTTTTTCTTTTCCTTTTCCCTTTTATTGTAAATGAAATAAACTGCCAAAGAGCTTTGTTAAAATGCAATTTGTTTTGGAAGCTGTTTTTATTAGAAACTCAAAATATGGTTAGCAATTTGTTAAGTGACATTCATTATCCTCAGGGTGCGTACAAGCTCAGGGATGTTTCTAAGGAGAGGACAAGATAAAATCATTAGGGACATAGAGAAAAGGATAGCTGATTTCACTTTCATACCTATAGGTATGGGAAACAAAACCTCTTCATGTCTTTTTTCATGTTAATCTAGTTCTGATGATGATCAATTACATATTTTAATGCTTTAAGGCCATGTTTTAAGCTTACTTTAAATATACAGAACATGGTGAAGGGCTTCAAGTTCTCCATTATGAAATTGGACAGAAATATGATGCTCACTTCGATTATTTCCTTGATGAGTTCAACACTAAGAATGGAGGACAGCGGATGGCTACTTTGCTTATGTATTTGTACGTATTTCTTCCTGTCTTGGATTCATTTGAATCCTAACTTTTGATATAGGTGAATCTTGCAAGGCAACTTGTCTCATTTCTCCTTTTGCATATTGTATCCTATTGTTACAGATCAGATGTTGAAGAAGGGGGTGAGACAGTGTTTCCTACTGCCAAGGGAAATATCAGTGCTGTGCCCTGGTGGAATGAATTGTCTGAATGTGGCAAACATGGTCTTGCTGTGAAGCCAAAGATGGGAGATGCATTACTGTTTTGGAGCATGAGGCCTGATGCCACACTAGATCCTTCAAGTTTGCATGGTTAGTAATTGCTGATCTTTTTCCATGGATTTTTAAAAAAAAAATTTTTGCTGCTAGTCAATAACGATTATGAAAGTTTGCATTTCAATGGAAAAGGTTTTTTTTTACCCTCTTATGTTTGTTCTGGTCAATGTGGTCCGAAATGTGTAACAGCTATGTTAGAAATTATTTCATTTAATCATGGTGAATTTTGTTCTTCTACTTGTGATTTTGTGCCTAAACCTATTTTGATACCAGGTGGATGTCCCGTGATTAGAGGGAGCAAATGGTCATCAACAAAGTGGATGCATGTCGGAGAGTACAAGGTTTAAGCCTTTCTGTAGAGGTAGAGGTACGCTCCCCCTTGCATATTTTTGTTTAGTCATTAACCATATTGACGATAGCTTGTTGTTTGAGACTGCATCAAACAATTTGCTGCATATTTGATGTGGGTAATCATTGAGAGTCAGAATTTTAGAATTCCCTTAAAAAACACACCATTAAATGGGGAGATTTGCCAATTGAATTTGTTCTTTTTATTACTCTGAAATTGATGGTCCTAATGAATAACTGAGACCAACAAATCCCCTTGGGGAGGTGTTGTTGCTTGTGTTGCCCCCCTCCCTCGAAGATTCTTCCTGTTTCAGGAAAGAAAAATCAATGGTCATGATTTCTGGCCTCTTTAACCATAGTTCCCTCATTATTTAATTAATTTGTGAATTTCAATAATTTCTTTTACCAGGGTCAAGAGCGGCGAACATGCGAGTCCCTGCTTGAAGAGCACATGGCGTCAAAATCCTGAGATTCTGTTGTCGTGTCCCAAATACTAACCCTTTACACTCAGGTCCTTTTTCTTTAATGACGAGCATATATGATTCTTGCCTTCACAATTAGGTTAGAGTTGCCAATTTGAACTTGCTATTTAATCCTGCGGTCCTTAAGAAATGCATCATGTAGAGCTAATGGTGTAATTAGATGATAAAATGAGATTAATTAGTTAGATGATACAAGCGTGGATATTACCAGTGATTCATTTAAAAGAAAAATAATTTATGAAAATACTAGATGAACATGATTCGTCTAGATTATTATTCATTGCTGTTGAGAGCCAAATCAGATTCTTCATTGCAGAATTGTAAAGAAATGCCTTCTTTCTTGCAATTAACGTTCATCTCTCTTTTGTTAGTTGTGTATTAGCTTTTTCAATTCATCCTCATCACCGGTCCTGCGGGTCATTTGATGAAGCTACTTTAATAAGTATTTAGCTTTGTGCTATCTGTTTTATTGTTTAGACTGTATTATACCATATACCACAAAATAAGGATAGGTGGACAGGAAAAGGGCCCTGTGTCATCAATGGTCCCTGTGCACAACAGTTTTCCTTTAGCTTTTTACCACTTTTTCTACTTGATATTTCATAAAACTCAATAAATTGTTATTTAACAAATAAAGTGTCAATTAATACTTTTAGCAAAAGCAACCATTACTAGCTTTTACTGAACTTGATAATTAGTGCTTTAATTGCTAAATGGTAATATGTTATGAGTAAGAATTTACTTACATAGATTTTCATATTATATTTATGAAAAATTATCTTCCAATCTATCCTATAATAAAATGTAAGATTAGGATCATCAAAGGAGGAGCCCCTTGATATTAGGGTCTCCTCATTTTTATGATCTTGATTTTTCAGTTCACCATCTAACGGACCGTGAAACAAGATACATTTATATTTATATAAAATTTAATAATTTATTT